ACGGACCTGCTGGCAAAGCTCCTTCTAGAGGAGAGCAGAATGATTACTCCCAAAACTTTGTTGACACTGGTATGCGACCCCAGAATTTCATCAGGGAACTAGAGCTTACTAATGTTGTAGAAGACTATCCCAAGCTTCGGGAGCTCATACAAAAGAAGGATGAAATTGTGGCCAAATCTGCTTCTCCTCCTATGTATTACAAGTGTGACCTGAAAGAACATGTGTTGTCTCCAGAGTTTTTCGGGACCAAGTTTGATGTCATTCTCGTGGACCCCCCTTGGGAGGAATATGTTCATCGTGCTCCTGGTGTCACTGACAATATGGATTATTGGACATGTGAAGAAATAATGAATCTTAAGATTGAGGTAATAATGTTTGCTCATAGCTCTTCCTTTTATACATCTATGATTTGTTGGAGGGTAAGTCGCTGAGTTTTAATTACCAAAATTAATGATACACAATGAGGCTCGGTATATACCCACAAGCTTAATGTAATTCTTCTCCAATGCTGTTGATAGATGGAGTAGTGATATTTATAATTGTATGAAATGATTATTCCATGTACTGAAAACTGAAATGTAGATGATATAGAATGTTTCTCATGTTGCATATAAAATAAAAGGAAGCCACACAAGTTAACTCCCGGGGGCATAAATGCATCTTGCATGTGTTAAACTCGGAGGACATTAACTCAAATATATTTTCTTTTTGGACCTTATTGTCAAAAAAAATGCGGCCCCGGGACTTCCTAAAGAAACTGCAATCGCAGTTTACCACTTACAAGACCACTGAGAGACCCTTCACCCACCCGGCACCAGTGGAAGCAAGCTCTATTGAATTAAGAATTCTCACAACAATGAGATCTACTCGACATGAATTAGGCGTTAATGAAACTTTTTACAGGAAATTTTTACAAAATTGTCAACAAATTCTAATATTATCAACTAATTAGAATGCTTCATTATTAGACCATGCTATTTGATTCGTCAAATACATCTTTATTGTATACTCTTTCATTTGTATGGCGAAAACCCAATTCTATGAAAATGAGTTATAAACTTATAGGACACCCAAAGAAGTCTTATATACGTGTGTGTGTGTGTGTGTGTGTGTGTGTGTTTTCTTTTTTCCAAAAAATATGCCTGCACAAAAGTAATAACAGAGGGTGTGATAGAGCCTCATTCAGAGAGAGTATCATTTTCTCTAATAACAATAGTTGTTAGAAACCACAAAAGAACAGGAGAAGAAAATTTTCAGGATCAAAAGTGAAACGAAGAAGCATCACTGCACATCTCCCGCCTATGTTGGTTGCCCCCTAGATGGGTATGCTATAAAAAACCTAGGAGAAGAACAATACTAAATGGATCAATTACTTTGACTGGTAGATCCATAAAGTTCTTGTCTTGACATTCTCCAATCCAGGTTCTGCATTTCAAACTTGATATTTAATGTGTTGCAGGCTATAGCGGACACACCTTCTTTCATTTTTCTTTGGGTTGGTGATGGTGTAGGCCTTGAGCAGGGCCGGCAATGCCTAAAGAAGGTATACAATTAAATCCTTAAGAAAATGGTTGCCTGGTTGTTAATTTCTTCCATTTTGGTTGCTGTAATTCATATGTCAGTGGTTTTTAACATGTTAAATTTTTAACTCTGTTTTCTTTCATGTAGTGGGGTTTCCGTAGATGTGAAGATATATGTTGGGTGAAGACAAACAAAACTAATGCAGCTCCAGGATTGCGTCATGATTCTCATACTTTGTTTCAACACTCAAAGGTTGGTTCTTATGTGCCTTCTGCTTTGTAGGCGTCTGCTGCCTTTTCACTTTCGATCTCACTGTTCCTTTAACTGCTCTGTGCATGCTTATTTGGTTTATTGTACCTTCTATTGTCTTGCATTGTGATGTAGGAACACTGCTTAATGGGCATAAGGGGAACCGTTCGTCGCAGTACTGATGGTCATATAATCCATGCAAACATTGACACTGATGTAATTATTGCTGAGGAGCCTCCTTATGGTCAGTTTTCTTTCATATCTTGGACTTCAATGACCCTGACATTGAAGCAATCTGTTTTATCATTTATGTTTTTGCTCTTTTTCATTTACGGTGGTCGTGATCTCATGTTACATTTATTTGATTATAAGTTGATTCAACTGCATATGTTTTTGAGTTGATTCAATTGCATATGTTTTTGAGTTGGGACCATTGTTTGGTGTAATGATAACAACTTCATCTCTAAGAATGCGAGTCCGGGTATGAGAGCAGGCATTTTGTGTAAAATAGTGTGTAATGGTTAGGTTTGTTTTCGAGTCTGTTTGTTCCAGCAGCCTGTATGGTTGGTACAACACTGTATAGTGGCCTTGTTTGTTAATTAATGTCTTATTTTAAAAAAAAAAAATTTAAAAATTTCAATCAATATATGTATGCTGTTTGTAGACATATAACAAAATGAAAGCTGGTGCTTTGATTGACACCCTCGAGTATGAGGAACTCATGTCATGACCAAACTATTATTTTAACAAGAAAAACAAGTAACAGGTTCCTAAAATGCAATCTTGAATATTCTGAAGCCATTACATGCAGTTCTTCTACGTAGCATTACTGTATTTGTAAGTCCGCACTTACACTGAAATCTTTCTGCTAATGGTTTTGCAGGTTCAACAGCAAAGCCCGAAGACATATACCGCATAATAGAGCATTTTTCCCTTGGCCGCAGGAGGCTTGAGCTCTTCGGTGAAGACCATAATATTCGGTCTGGCTGGCTGACTGTTGGTAAAGGACTATCCTCATCAAATTTTGATGCTGAGGTACAATGTTTTTTATCATGCTTACCATCTCAATAAGGGGAGGGAGAGTATTATAACTTGCTGAATCATCTTGCTCATCAGCTGATTTTCTCCCGAACTGGTCCAAATGTTAATTCAATTTTCCTCCATATGTTCAGTGGAAAAGAAACATTGAATTTTGGGAATAGTGTGTGTTTATGATTGATACGAAAGAGTATTATAACTTGTTAAAGCAATTTGTTATAGTACCTTAAGGTGTAGGGAAGTGGTTTTTTGCAATGGGTGTAGGTTTTTGTGATGGAAGTCATTCTTTGAGGGGAAAAAGAAAAACTACAATCATTGGCTTTAAATTTTAGCATTTGCATAAGATACTTTTGGAGGTAAAAAGGATGGTAAGATGTCGAAACAGATTCTGCCCTTTTTCCTTGTGGGAAAAGAAAAGGGAGAAGATTACTTGTCCAAAAAAAAAAGAGAGAGAAGGGAGAAATCGCATCTCTCTTTAGGTTAAATGAGATCCTGAAATAAGTTGAGAATATTGTTTCTTATATGACAAATTTTAGCTGCTAGGACAAACATTGTGATTTTCACTAAAAGGATGACTTCTCTTGCAATAAACAAGTATACTATGCACATCCATATTTTTCCTTTTAACTAATTTCTACTAGCAGTAAGTTAGTAACACTGTTCCATCATAATTTTCTAAATGGTGTGCATATCATGAGACAGTATTGTAATTTTTTTTTTCCTGAATAGACAGTGTATTTTCCTCTGCAGATATAATTATCTGAGTCTATTTTACTTCCCCGCAATTTCTGACATTGATTGGGTTTACTTCAGGGATATGTCAGGAACTTTGCTGACAAGGATGGGAAAGTTTGGCAGGGAGGTGGAGGACGAAATCCTCCACCAGAAGCACCTCATCTTGTTGTTACGACCTATGACATAGAGTGTCTTCGGCCCAAGTCACCGATGAAGAATCAGCAGCAACTACAGCAGCAGCAGTCGGCTTCCATCTCTCTCACAACGGCCAACCCCGCCAACTAAATGCCAACTGGAAATTCACCACAGAATCATAATGCTCCAAGTCTGAACCAAGAAGCGTCCAGCTCTAACCTTTCAGCTTCAGGTCCATGGGCTCCATCCATGGAGGGCTTTAAAGGACGAGAAGACGGCAATATGGCTTCAGATGATCGGCCTGTTGATGTATGGGTGTAATGAGTCTTGCCAGCACGTAAACAGGGAATATGGAGATTATAAATCTCAGAGAGCAATTATTGTGTTTTTAGCCAAAAATACTGGAGAGAAGTAAAGAAGAATTTTTTTTTTTTTTTGGTGGTTTCCCTAAAAATATAAAATGAATGGGAATGCCATTACATTACATCCGATGTAAAAATCTGAATCACTCTTCCGTTATGGAAAGCTGGAATAATTCTTTTCCCAAAAGGGGAAAAAAGTAATGCACCGTGACCATTTGTAACACAATTCGTTTACGTAATTGCTGAAGTTACTCCCTTATCAATTAGTGCAGGTGTAGTGTTTTATAAAAGTCCTCTTTGTCAATCTGACTATACTAGTTAATCTCATGATTGATCACTAATGAATTACAATTGGGTTCTCTCAAAATAACTTTTATTTTATTTTTTTAGTAAATAGTTGTTGGTAAATTTATAAGAGTATCAAATTCAATTATAGAGTAAAGTGTGTAAAAACTCTTCTTATAAAAAAATGTGTCACACGAATACAAATTCCTAACATTTAAAAATATGTACAAATTATTCTTTAATATTTATAAAAATTTCAAAATACTTTAATATGCCTTTAAAAAATGAAATGAAATTTTTTATTTTTATTTTATTTTAAAGATATTTAAGGTATTTCAATTTTTAAATTCAGCAAATAAGAATTATTTACCAGCAAATAAGAACTATTTACCCAATTTAAATTAAAAGATAGATTGCAGGGTTTGTAAATTAAAGTTTAGATCTAAGTTACATATAGTGAAAATAAGAACGAATTCAAGAATGAGGGCGCCAAAGAGATAAAATTAAGTCATAATTCATAAATAATGAGAAACCGAATGAAAGCATGAACGCAAAAGCGGGAGTATTTGCAACGTGAGAACGCACTTGGAATACGAGAATGACACTGGTTTAAAAGGATCGCCTCAACTTGGGTTCATAAAAAAGGAAAAGAAGAAACAGGGGTACAAATGGCATTGAGGCGGTTGGGTTTTGTTGACCCGATCCACTACGATCCATAGTATATAACGGCGATTCCTCATCTCTCTCATACACATTATTATATCGTTTAGAGAGGGTTATAGAAAGTTTGGTACTGCGCTACAAAAGAATTAGGTTTTCCGAAATAAGGGTTTTTGTGGAAGCTTTTCGAATCGATAAGGATGATCTACGACGTCAACTCTCCTCTCTTTAGATCCTTCCTTAGCCAGAAGGGAGGTTCTTCTGACAAGAGGTATTCTACTACCCCTCTCTCCCTCTCGGTATTATACGTGTATGGTGGCTTTCATTTTATTGTATATACTCATATTCATTGAATTAATTGATCTGTTCTTTTTATTCTTGATTTTGTTTCTGAAAATTTTGAAGACTAATTTTTACGTGTGGTCTTTATCGGCTTGAATTTGAGTAATAGACCGTTTAATTCGTTGCTTCGAAGTAATAGGGAAGACTGATTTGCACAGCATTCTCAGTTGCATATATGGCCTCATAAAATTTTCAGCACAAGAAGGCCGCGGGAATAGTAATTTTTAAACTATATTGATTTATGGTAGTAGAAAGCTATATATTAATGCTTGGTTTGGTGGCCACCATATATTATCTTGTAAATGCTTCAAAATATAAACGTTTAACTATAGTTGGAATTCTTTTATTTTTCTTGTTAATCTTCCGCAAGTAATACTAGATAATATTGAAAATTGACTTGGTTGGCTGAGTTAGAGAAATGGCTTGTGATTTTTAGTATCTAATGTTATTTTGGATTTTGTAACCACACTAGATAATAATGTTAAAGTTATTATTATTTCAATGCAAGTCCATCTAAGGAAAGGAGAATAGTTGGACATTCGACTTATTTATTATTCTTTGTTCTAGGGTTAAATTTTGTTTGCGAAGTAGATTGTAAGATAGTTATTCCTATAATATTACTTTTCAGTTGGAAAGTGTGTCCTTGTAGGTAGTTTCTTGATGGGATACGCTACTTTAGCTAAATGAATTATCTTGTGTAAACGCCTCCCTGCTGGATACTGTTACTGAATGCTAGGCTACTTTCTCCCTCTTTCTTGGGTATAATTTTGTAGGTAGTTTCTTGATGGGATATGCTACTTTAGCTAAATGAGTTATCTTGTGTAAACGCTTCCCTACTGGATACTGACATACTGTTACTGAATATTAGGCTACTTTCTCTCTCTTTCTTGGGTATAATTTTCAAATTTTGTACTTGCGGTTGTGCGACAATAAATTATATTTAGTATGGTTAAGTTATTGTATCCATTGCTGCTGTTTGTGTTCATTCAATTCCTTTTTATTTTTTTTATACAGTTGGCATTGTTTTAGTAGCCATTAATACCATCTACTTCACTTAGTGTATAAATGTTAGGTTACTCATCGACTAGGGATCTTTTAGTACACAAGAGATGTTGAGATCAGTCTTCTTCTATTTTAGAATTTGAATAAGTTAAAATATTATCAGGAGTTCTCAAGTGAATCAAATATCACATGCTCAGGTCTCTTCATTTATTTGTAGTTAGTACACCAGCTATGGTTTTTAGGGGATCATGATTATGTGATTGTTGGTTTTCTTCATTTCATGGGTCATTTTAGATACCATTTTGATATTTTGTTTTTCTGTTGTATTCAACAATGCAAGGGCAAAAAAAAAATCGTTATGGATATGCAGTAAAGCAAATGAATGTTTCACATAGAACTATTTGAACTTTGTAATTTTTTAAACGAAAAGGATTGGAAAGATATTCTAATGGAAGACGAATTGATGAATCAGATATTGGAAGACATAAGCTACCATGACCCAGGTAGAGAGACACCACCGATCCTTGTTGCCAATTTTATTTTTCTAATTTAAATATAAATAAAATTAAAGCTGAACTTAACAGCTTCCAACTTCAAAGGGAAGGAAAATGAAAATCTCTGCTCTTCATCAAAGATCTGATATTGTTTTCTTCATTTATTTTCTGGCTTAGTACTTTCAAGGTTTCATTCCCCAAATCGTAAGTTGGATGAACTAGACTTATTGCTTAGGTCGAATATACTGAATCTGCTGCTCGGGCCACTTTTCCAGTTGTTCTCAATGATTCCAATCTTTTGACATAATTCTGACATGCTGGTCTAATTTTGACATCTGTTGGTGGTATGATTGTGTTGTTCGTGATTTTCTAACATGTTTCTGACATTTCCAGGAAAAATGAAGAGCAGAAGCCGAAGGAACAGAGGCCAAAAGCTAATGAGAATAAGCCTGTTATGAATGAGTAATGGCTGTATGCAATGATACCTTAGCATGGGTAGGTTCAAGCTCTTTTAAGTTCAATTATGGTGGTTGGTGATTTCTTTTTTTTAAGTAACATGGCAATTGCTGAGACTGCGACTTTTGATTTTGCACGAGTTCCCTTCCTATGTACTGTCTGAAAATAGATATTATTATGATTGTTGCAGAGGCTAAGCTTTGTAAAATTTAGTTTGCTAAGTGAGTTCATACTTCCCGGTATGATAAATCAATCACTAATGCTATCTATGAAATTATGTTTGCTCCCTAAAATCATCTTGTCTTAACATATATATTGTCGTCTTTAAAATATCAGTAATTTTAACAGTTACAGATCAGTAATTTTAACGGTTACAGATGCTTGTTTTGGTAGCAGCTTCTAGAGGGGGTGATATTTTGGAGTTAGGGTATATCTACCCAACCTAATGTTGGACCAACACAAAAACCGAGTTACACCTCTACCATCTAGGACAACCACCAAAAGCAAGTAGTGCCTTTGTGACATAGTCAACAAGGTAGGGTCATGGTGCATTATTGTGTGAAATCATGTTATTTGGACACGGGCCATGACCAAAGAGGATGTTATTCCTTTTCACCTGTTTATGGGCCAAACACGAGGATGCCTATATTTTCTTTTTCTTTTATTATATTTTATGAAAATACAGTGTTCTTTAACAAGTGACCATGACAGATGCAAAAGAAAAAAAAAATGTGCAACCTGTGTTAGTGTTTTTTCTTTGATTTTTTTTCCTTTGTTATTGTGTATTTTCTACAATTCGTTCTTTGTTTTATTGAGATGATATTAGACAAAAAACACCGAGTTGTTTTTTTTATTTGGAATGTGTATTAGTAAATTATTAAAAATGGTTATTCACATAAATTTAAATTAATATAATGAGAAATGTAACGGTCATTCAGGTATTACTTGAATACCGTTAGGAAATGTTATTTTGGCTTCCAAGGAGAGTTGATCATCTCTCTCTCTCTCTCTTGGGTAGGTCAATTTAGGCCAAGGCATGAATTTTGAACTATTCATCATTGTATTACATTATGGGAACAATACGAAGTGTTAAAGTTTCCATCCACTTGTAGCTCATATATAAAAATGAATTAAAATTAGTAATTTTTTTATACTTGTAGCTCATATATAAAAATGAATTAAAATTAGTAATTTTTTTATAAAAAAATTATTGTACCCTAATGGTATTTGGCAAACTATTGTATTTTGATGAGTCATTTTCATTGAGGTCTGAAAGTGCATTACATTTTTTTTTAGTTGATACACACACACTTGTGTTACTGAGTTTCGAATTCCACTTGCTTTCACTGAGTTTCGAACCCCTGGCCTTCCTTTGAAAAGTAAAAACTTGATACTGTTAGTCCAATGACCTGTTGGATGTTGAGTGAAAATTGTGAAAAAGACTCCAAACAAATCTAACCTTTATTTTTAGCATATAAATATTTTAATTTAATTATTACACCAAGGAAGGACTCCTTTCAACTTGTACTTTAAGACTCTGAACAGAGTTACAGAGGCACAACAAATCTTGGTCAAAGAAAATCCGAACAAAGTTTACATTAAAATTAAATACTGTGTGTGGGAATACTAATTAAAAAGGCGTAACGGGGTTTGACAGAAAACACATTGGTCTCTCTTGAGGTGAAAAGTTGGGGGAGGCAAGGAGTGCATGGCACTCGAGTGGCCATAAGTGGTTTCCCATGTGAAACCAATCTAACCCTCTACCTCAATCACCTCCTGTCTACTGTTCTCTCAATAACCTATTTACCAACATTACCCCTTCCTATTTACAAAATGTGGACTCCTCAATTAATTAGTAATAATAATAATAAAATTGGTAAACAAATAATATTACAATTTAGAGAAAGTTGAATTAGAAAACATAATCTAATAGCCAAAAGGAGGAGATACAGAACATGGTTTGTTTGCCTTTTCTTTTATTTGTTTAATTGTAGGATATCCGAAAAATAAATAAATAAAAAAATTGTAGGATATAATTTCATTGATATGGAGCCCATATGGGCACTTGATTAGTCAAATCTGTCTTTATGTGCTATATAATACTCTATTATGGTTGTCTATTATGGGTCTATGTGCCTTAGCAAATGGTGTGAACGTGTTATTTCTTTCGAGTCCATGACATGCTAGTGACACCCACCCCTTTCTTAATGCTAAGAGTGGTGGATGAGTGGTACGAGTAGATAATAATAAGATGCCTCATTCAAATTAATTAGTTCTATCTCCTTGTATAGCTAGCTAGCTACATCCTACACCTTCATCAGTATGCTTTGATTCGAGTTTGACTTTATGATCAATCTTATAGGCTGCATTTTATTACTATCTCTGTCAAAAAAATAATAATAATAATTAAAAAAATAAAAAAATAATAATTTAGTGTCAATTTGAGAATTGTGACTCAATTGCATTTTATTACTTGCTCTATCTCAAAAAGAGTCATGTTTGGAGAAATGCGACATTCTTTTTAAGACAAAAAATGTATATGTTACAGTTTCAAAGCATAATTTTATTCCTGATAAGTGAGTATTAAATATTATATATATATATATATAAAGTCCTAACAGGATAGAGTAGATTGAGATGTATTGTTTGGACGCATTTATGGAAGACCAAGAGAGATGCGCTGGTGAAACGATGAGACGGAGTCCAAAAATCTTTTCCTTGTGGATTTTTATTACTCATTACTGATTAATGTGGCATTTATGCAGATTCTTCTTGTGAGGGCAGTGGGTGGGTGGGAGGGATAATTTGGTAATTTAACAAAAAGCAAATAATTTGGTGGTTATAGAAGGAAAAAAGCTTGTAAAGTAAATGCTTCTTCTTTCCATTCGTTAGTTAGTCTCTCTCTCTCCCTTCTATCCCCCTTTATTCACGCCGCTTTCACTTCCATTATCACACATTTCTTTCCCATTTCCTACAACAAAACAAACACCACAGACCCTCTTCTTCTCCATTCCACCACCATCTTCCAATTTTCTATTCCATTCTCTTCTCTGTCTCTTTTCTAAACAAAGAGAGAAAAAAGAGAAAAACAATGTCTGAGCTGTGCTTGTCAAGCACAACCAAGACTACTACCAGTCTTCTCCTCTCTGACTTCTTCCTATTTTGTTCCTTCATTCTCTCTCACCCTCTCTACTTCTCTTACTTCATCTTCTTCTCTCCTTACCTTCTCAAACTCCTCTCCTTTCTCTCTCCTCTCTTCATCACCACTTCCCTCCTCCTCCTCGCTCTCCTCACCCTCTCTCCCACCCTCCATCACAATTCTACACCCCAATTGCTTGAATCCAAAGTTGGGTTTTTTCTCTCTACATACCATGCACTTGTACACACACTCAAGTCCAAAACAGAGCACAAAAATGAAGAGTTTCATCAATTTGATGAGCTTGAAGCCTGTAGAATTGTGTTCGACACATCTATTTTCGATGTAGAAGAAATCCCATTTCAAGATTGCTCACCACCACTTGAATCAACCACCATTGTCGAGAGTTTGAGTACCGAATTAGGAAAATCAACACAAGTTACTCACACAGAAACTACTGATCATCAGCCTGACATGGAAGCAAAGTCTTTGGAAGGTTTTTTACAAGCATTGGATGAGTTTGAGAGCATGACTAATTACAATGTGGAAGAGAAGAAAATTGAGTCAAAAGGCCCCAAGCCCGATAAAGTTGAAGGACAACAAAAGGAAGAGTCAATTGCGACAAGGGGATCCGAGGCAACACTTATTAAAATAAGAGTTGCCACCAATAAAGTTAACACTGATAACGGAGACGAGTACACTAATTGTGCTGACAATGGCGGAGAGTACACGTCAGACGTCACGGAGACGGAGATTAGTTCGCGGACATTGGATTCGAATCTGGGGAGCTATGGATCAATGAGGAGGGAGAAGGAATGGAAGAGGACGTTGGCGTGCAAGCTGTTCGAGGAGAGGCACAATGTGGAGGAAGGCGGCGAAGGGATGGATTTGCTTTGGGAGACGTACGAAATGGATTCGAGTAAGAACAAGGGGAAGGCCATGGGCAGCATGAAGAAGAAGGGGAAGAATAAAGGTGAGAGTGAGTACTACGAGGACGACGAGTACGACGAAGAGTTGGATGGGCAATTGTGTTGCTTACAGGCATTGAAGTTCTCAGCAAGAAAGATGAATCTAGGAATGGGAAGGCCTAATCTTGTTAAGTTTTCCAAGGCCATCAAAGGGATTGGATGGTTGCATCGTGTGACCAGTACTCATGGTAGTAGAAAGAGGTAAAAAAAAAAAAAAATCTGAGTTGGTGTTGGTGTTTTGGCTTTTAATGTTAAATTGCCATGGCAAAGTATGTGTAATTTATTTCAAAATTAAATTAAGTAAATATGTTCCTTCCAATCCTCGAAAATTCGAATATGTATTCTCACGCTTAATATTTGTTATTGTATTTTGCAATATATAACTCTTTTAATCCTCATATTTACCAATTTAAACTTTTTACTATTGCACACAATAATGATCTGAAATGAAGAATATTTTACCATTTTGGTGGGTGTGACATGATAGATTATGCCCTTATCGGTGCTGCTAAAGTTCGTTAGGTGATTAATCATAGTGCTACCACATTATGGTATAAGAAAGTGGTTCTGGAAATTGTGTGTCTGTGAATGTCCATGAGTGAGGCATGCTGTGATTTTTCTTCTTTTTTTTTTTGTTTGCTGGACATGACAACCACATAAATGATTTCCATCATTCTCTTGATTCTGATCATATTCTCGTGGTGGAAGCATCCAAGAGTAGTTGTCATCTTTGTTGTCACATTGATTCCAAAACGAGTAAAGCTAAGTAAGAGAGCCCTCTCATGACAAGTCACGAGCTCTCTATAACTAGGGATTAAGACAGGTTTTTTTTTTTAAAAATATTTATGAAGATTCAAAATCTTTCAATCATGTGATAAAATATAAAGAGCTCATGACTCTTCTCATAAGAATTCTCTTTAGACGTTGTTCTTCAATATTTTGCCATAACTTTTTCACTATCACGTCCTTCTAATAAACCGCCTCTTTTTAACTTTTTAAAATTTGAGAATTCATAAGAGAAACAAGATTTGGAATTAATAGTCATCCCAGATTATAATGTTTAGAAGATTGCATTTTGGAAAAGAAGTGATCTTTTGGGATGAAGACTAAGACCTAAAGCCAGAGATGGTGTAGTGCCCTTTTAACCATGTCAGAGTAGTAGATTGACAAGGCCTAACCTTAAAAATTACTGTAATATTTGAATTGATTTACTGCTGGAACTCGTTAATCAATGTTGCTCATAATGTAACGCTAGCACATCAACTTTAAACTTTATAATAGGTGCAAAAGACATTAAAGCGCAACTAACAAGTACATGAACAAAATAACACCCACTTAAATGGATAAGTTGGGGCTTTCAATGATATGGTTAGCAGTTGATGATGACTACTTAATATTCCCTCAAGTCCCAGAATTCTTTTTTTATGGTTGTGAATTTTTAATACTCTTTTATTATATTGATAAGAAAGAAAATTTAAATTTACAGTATAGTATTTCGTTCATAATTAGTGGTATATAGTTAAAATGATAGTTTGTAAATGTTATAAAAAATAGTACATTCATTTTTTAAAAATATGTTCTTTTAAGCGTATTTCCTTTGAACTAGTTTCCAATTAGAAAATGTGTTCGTTTTCTAATTTTGAGGTAAAATATAAAATGGGCTGGCATTGTTATCATCCGCCAAAATCATAAAAATTTAATAATTAATTACAAATGAGTAGTGCTAATGATTTCATTTGAAATTCTTGACCGAGCAAAATTTATTGGTGAGATATAAAAAAATGCGACTCTCATTTTTTTATATTTTATATATCCAACCAATCAACAATCTTCTTCAAATAAAACATTTAACGTTTGCTTTAGATAATTCGGCAACCCTAATGCACCAAGGTAAGGGTATGTAGGGTCCTAAGCAACAATCCCTTTTATTGAAATTCAGATCAAATTGGTGGCACGTCATTTCTGTCTAACAAATGACTCTTATTATCATGCCCTATATATATAATTTCAGAAGTGCCATGTACATTCAATATCGAAATGAATATAACTTTGAAAATTAGCGAGCATTGGAAACCTAGGGATTTGTCATTTTGTGGGGCTTAATTATTTGAGTTAGTTGTTAGTTAGTTGACTGTTATAACAGAATTGAAATTCCTAAAAATGATAAGCAAAATAAGTCTGGTCTACTCACTCACCGGTGTCCTGCTTATCGGTGATGTGGTTATAGTTTCTAATTATAAAATTAGAAAAGTGCTATAAGGACAATAATTTTTTTTGGTATTTTTTTAATCACCTCTCTGATTTTTTTATTTATCAATTTTTAAATTTTGTAATTATAGACTATTTATGTATTTGTCATTAGACCACATAAGTGGTAAGTAGACAAATCTTGTCCTGGAAAAAAATAATAATAATAATAATAAAAATTACAGTATGAATTGGGATAGGAAAAAGAAGAGTGGCTAGAACATTGATTAGGCATTTAATTAAAACACCAGAATACTTTGCTAGCCCTGTGTGGTTGGAGGTTTACAAAATAGACCTAAATGGGGTATGTCTTGGTTGGGCTTGACGACTTCTCCTTCTCCTTGGGAAGTGATGAAGTGTGGCCCGTCAGAATCAGTAGCTGGTCCATCTGGACTTCTCCGGAATTAGGGGATTTATTTTACAGATGAAAGTTTCATATTTAATGGTCCAAGAGCCTGTAGTGATTTGGGCATATTCAGCTTAGATGATGGGAGTATTAAGTCCTTCTTTCCAACTGAACTGACTATCATTCATATTTGTCTTCTCCCATATGGTTTATGCCGACTCAATTCCAGTATTGATATTCGGAATTGATTTCATACTATTGTGTTAATAAAACAAATTTCTTTCCCTGGATTACAATGTATCAATGTTCTTGTATTGCTATTGTTATATTCATTTTGGTAATTCTAGGTTTACCATAACCTGCCCTTTTTTATAGCAATATCTATTTATTATTATTATTATTATTATTATTTTTCAGTCGAAACAACCAGTCCTCCTTAATTTTTCTGTTCTCATGTCCCAACATTGTACATGACCTTGAATTATAAATGGGAAATTTCATAAACTAATTTATCTGCATTTTGTTAATTTGCTTGATAAGGAGGAAATATTGTTTTTGGCTGCCAACATTTCATCTCAAGAAAATGATTGACAATAACAAGACCATGCATATGCAAAATTTAAAGTTTCAGAATTTATTGGCCCTTCCTGGCTAATTGAATCAGAGTAATATTTCTAATGGATGTGGATCTTCTCTTGCATACATTTGTGTTCCGTACCTCCATTTATTCAAGGGTGCAATAATGACCGTAGAATGTGGAGTGTTACATCTCGATGTAGTATGTTGCATCCACAAAGTAAATGTGATGCAGGAGTGTTTCATCTCCATGGTCGAAGGTTATGGTTTAATCAAGAGAAATATAATTTTAGGAGTCTTCATCACAGCCTCCACTTTCTTCATCATCCCGGGCAGTATCACTTTCATTCTCTCTATCGATGTTTTTGACAAGCAATTTAATCTTCCCGGGCTGAAATGGGGATTGTTTTTCATCACTGTGCCCACTTTCTTCATCATCCCCGGCACTCTCAATTTCGGTCTCAACAGCAACACTTTTGCCCTTGCAGCTACCGCTGTGTCTTTGCCTGCAATCACCTTGTCCATTGCTACCACCAATGGTTTCTCTGCTCTTGCAACCACTGCTATGACTTGCTTGTCACCGTTGCCTTGTTCACCAATGGGGGTTTCAGGAGAGAAATGGGCTAATTCACTTTCTTTTGGAATTAATGGCTTGTCAAAGATTGAACCTTTTTTTGCAGTAGTGATGGCATCAATTGAGCTACCAGAAGGCCATTTTATTTATTTATTATTATTTTTTTTTAAGGGGAATGATGGGGGCGGGAATCGAACACAAGCTGTGGAGGAAAAAGCCCTTACCACCGGCTACGTAAAATGTCAATTGTTACATCTCGATGTAGTATGTTGCATCCATGAAGTAAATGTGATGCATGACTGTTGTATCCTTGTGTAATGTGGATGCATCTTCAATTTAAATTGCGTGTCACTTAATTTATGCATAATCGCAACAAGTGACCAAGGAAGAAGAGATGGAGGGTTATGTTTAATCAAGAGAAATATAATTTTCTTGTTACTTCTCAGATTGAATTCTAGACAAGGCCTATATCTAATTATCTATTTATGTATGTATATACAGAGGGAGAGACAAGGAGGCACTGCATTCACTTAAACACGTACCAAATTTGAACTCAACTGCCTGTTTCCTCACTTCGTAGTTGGTTCCAAGCATACAGAAGAAGCTCACACTCAGACCTTTCCTTCTTTCTTTATTATGAAACTACATGGCTTATCTGATGACTATCCCTCGATCTACAGAAGCTCTAGTATGCTGTTACTGAGAGTACTACTTTGGCTTGCCTTGATCATCACACTCACTTTCTTTGTCATCCTCTTCAGTATTACTTTTACAGTACAGGTTCTGGTTTTGCGATCGCAACAATAGGAAGTTTGCATTGGCACCTACCACTATGACTCTGCCTTTGGAAGCCTTGCTTGCCAATGCTGGATCCAGGAGGGAAATGGGACTTTCTTTCTTCTCGAATGAGCAGCCTGCTGAATTTGTTAAAGACCTTTCAGGAGTTAATGGGCTTTGGCTCTGAGACCACTTTGGTTTGCCTTCATCATCAGTACTGTCGCCACTTTCTTCATCATCCTGGGCAGTATCATTTTCAGTCTCTATATCCATGTTTTTGCCAAACAATTTAATTTTCCCGGGCTGAACTGGGGATGATTTTTCATCACTATGTCCACTTTCTTCGTCATCCGGCACTGTCAATTTCGGTCCCTGTACTGATGTAGTTGCGAAACAATTTAATCTTCAGGGGTTGAACTGAGGCGCATTTTTCATTCTCAAGAATAGTACTTTTCCCTTTGCAGCAATCACTACGACATTGCCTTCCATTACTTTGTTCATTGCTACAAAAAATGGTATCTTTACCCTTCGAGCTACTGCTATGTTCACCAATGGCCGGTCCAGAAGGGAAATAGGCATTGTTAAGAGTTGATGGGCTATTGCACACACAGTACTTCTTTGGCTTGCCTTGATCACTAGATTCACTTTCACAATCCCTATGGATGTCCTTGCCTGATATTTTAATCCTCTTGGACAGAACTGGCAATGGGCTTTCATTCTCAACAGCAAGACTTTTTCCCTTGAAGCTATCGCTACGACTTTGCCTGCAATCATCTTGTTCATTACTACTACAAATGATTTGTTTGCCCCTGCAACCACTGCTATGACTTTGCCTATCATCATTGCCTTGTTCACTAATGGGGGATTCGGGAGGGAAATGGGCTAATTCACTTTCTCTTGGAATTAATGGCTCATCAATGAGTGAATTTTTTCGCAAAAATTCAGCAGTGATGGCATCAATTGAGCTAGCAGAAGTTGACCACCCCCAATCCTTATTAGCAGACGGTCATGGATTGATGCTCTGTGCATTGATGCTCCTTGCAGCAGATGAGTATCTGCAGAGGAGAGAGCCAAAAGTAACTCATGTTAATTATAACAAAGAGATATTGGTATTTTCATGCATAATGATGACCATTGTAGGTTCACAACCATTTTGATTAGGGTAGGTTTGGCTTATGTGTGGTAATATAGTGAGCTCTGTATCTTTAAAATTCAATTCACCAACCCATCAATTGATGATAGCTCTATATGACCATGTCAGAAGAAAGAAAAGAAAGTACAAAAATTCTATCACAGAGTCGATCAGTAGTCCCATTGATGTGTTTGTTTGATGAGAATTGAGAAAGAAAGAATATGAAAAAGAAAAAAAAAAATTATAATTGTTCATTCATTTTATGACATATATCGTTCCAAATTCCATTCTTCTTCTTAGAATGCAACAAAGCAGTAGGCATTTAACATATCCACACACACACACACACAAACACACGCATATGTAAGTATGGGCCATCTAATAAGAATCAAGAAAAATGGAAATTTCACCAAGACTGGTCTTCCCAATGAACTAATTCCAGGTTTTCATGGCAAGAACAGGGTAGTCTCACAGTCACGTTGTTTTGCACGATTGGCCTATGTAGATTGTAGACTAAGCTCTGTATCTTGTAAATTCAATTAAAGAAAAAAAAAAAAGAAAAGAAGCGAGAACTCTGATCACAAAGATGATCAACCAAACTGGTGCTCTGTTTGGTTGCAGAGAAATAGGAAAGAAATTTTTTTATCTTCCACTTACTATTATGATTCCAAATTTCATTCTTCTTCTTGGCATAAAACTAAACAGATGTGATAATATATTCAAAAGAAAACTTTACTTACCTGGGTTTCGATTTTGCTGACAGATGATTGCAGGTTTCATCAATGTCAGAGACCTCTTGATGATCAGTAACAGCTACCATTGTTGTAGTTGCAGATGGAATTCGTTGTTCTGAAACACATGTAGTTTCTTCTTCTTCTGAAATCATCTTCCTTTTCTCTTCTTTGAGCTTGTGACGTAAATTAGTGTCTGTACTATCAGTATCAGACATCTTTCTTGATTCTTAATTTCTTGAATGTAGTGAGCTTTGAAAGAGGAGGGTCTTGAAATCAGAGAATTTGATATTTGAAGAGATCATGTGTGTATATAGAGAGAGATTTTGTTTTCACGAAAATTATTTTCAAAGGAAAAGCTTAAAACCAAATGATTGACGTGAATGAGAGAAAAACCCACCGAAGATATGACATTGCTTTTGTTTTTACCATTATAGAATATTATAGTTCATCAAGAGTTACTGAGTTACTCAGTTACCATGCTTTTTTCAATTGTTTTTGGGCCCAAATGTTTTCCTTACAATTGTCAAGTTCTTACCATCAGTAGCTTTGAAAAATTGACGGTTAATAATTCAATTGAACAGAACAAATGAGTTAAGTCGGCTGGTGAAAATCACCTCCAATTAAATTGTGCGCCATTTTCTCTTTTTTAAAATGAATGATCCAAAAATAATCACGATATCTTTGTCTGGGATGCATATTAGGAATATATTGGGAGGCACAGTAGGAATATATTGGGATAAAGTAAGAATATATTAGGATGCACAGTAAAAAAATATTGGGATGCACCTTACGAAAATGTTGAAATGTACTTTTACTTAAAAAATAGAAGAAATAGATTACTGTGCAATTGGAGATGATCCTTGTCCGTTAGTAGGCACCAAAGCTTAAAGTAAGAAGCTAAAAAAATAAGAAAAAAAAAATTATTTAAAGGAGTAGAAAGGAAATTTTTTTTTAAAAAGGTAAAAAAAAAATGACAACTTAAAAAGGAAAAAGTTAGAATTTAATTTATCAAGAAAAATTTAATATTTTTTTTTAATAATTTGAAGAGTAAATTAGGAAAAAAACTAAAACAATAAGATGTAATTTAAAAAATTAATAATTTTTGATTGGCGTTATATAAAAAATTTCATATATCTACATGTAAAATATAAAAAAATTACCATTAGTGGGCGGAGCCAGCCAGGGGCAAGTGTCTTCTCTGGGCATACACTAACTCCGCCCTTGACTCCACGATCAAGGGCTTAACACGGATTGGATCGGTTTGGTTTGGGGGTAAAATTCAATCTAATCTGGTGCCTGCGAATTGGTAAAATTTGAAACCGAACCAATCGGTGGAAACTTAATCCGAACCAAATCAATCTGTGAAATAATGGATCGGATCGGTTCGGTTTTTACAGATTGGGCTTTTCAAATAGTCCAATATAATTATTGATTACACTTTATGACCCATTAAAATCTCAAATTAATAATTAAAAACCTAACTAATGACTAATGATTTTAGTGACCCAGAGTTAACTTAAAGTCTTAGATAATGAATAAAAAAAAATACACTAAGTAAATATATAATTATATATATATATATATATATATATATATAAAATATTAATGGATTATATAATTAAGGTAATGGATCGTATCGGTTCGATTAATGAATTTGATCAATTTTTATAAGGTTTAATTCGTTAACTGAATTGTCAATAGTAAATTTTTATTTTTTTATACTACCGCTGAACTAGGAAATCTAAAAACTGAATCAAATCATATGAATTGAATTCGTTGGAACCAAATTGATAGACTAACCCCTACGACGATCTCAAGTACCACGCGAGAATGAAAATTGCTCTGGTTAGTCCCATCCAGTACCACCACAAGTCCATCTTAGGAAAGTCACTGACTCAATGCTGGCAATGCCACGTGTTCCTTCAAACTAATCTTTACTGATGAAATTACCATCCTAGTAATCGTACTTATTTCCAAAAAAAAAAAAAATTTGAAGTCTCAGTAATCGTAATTACAGTCCGAGATCCATACAAAGCTTAGCTGGACCTCACCGCTAAACACGGTCCCACGGAGGCCCATAGACGGTTGTGGGACCCATCAACACCAACCAATCTACACACTACACCATCACCGACGGTCCCCGCGTTCCCTTCACATGCCACTTGCCACTCCCCGTACAAACAATCATAGCCCCCTCTTTCTCTCTCTAGATTCCCATTCCCAGCAAAACCAGTTTGAGATCTCTCTCTAGAAAGAGGACACAGAGATGGCGAACACAACGCTTCGAAGCTCTCGCACTTCACTCTCCTCCGATCGAAAGAATGGAGTCGGCGGTGGAGCGATTCGAGTCCCTCTCTTCAGCTTCAAGCTCTTTGTCTCCGCCATCACTGTCGCTGTCTCTCTCTTCTTCGCTCTCTCTTTCCTCTTCACTTCCTCCACTAATCCATCCGATCTCAACTTCGTAAGTACTTTAATAATCGGCTTTATATTCACATATTATATGTATAATTGCTCTCAATTTCTGTGTGTGTATATATATATATATGTATGTATTATCAATTTTGTATATGTACGAGTATTTACTGTGTTTCCTTTTCGAATTAGGGTTTTTCTTCTGATTCATATGGACTTGGACCGATCAGACGGACGATACTCGCTATCAAATCTGACCCGTTGAAGCCGAGACTTGATCAGATCAAGAAGCAAGCAGACGACCACAGATCTCTTGTTCTCGCTTACGCGGCGTATGCTCGGAAGTTGAAGCTGGAGAACGCGAAGCTTGTTAGGGTTTTTGCAGATCTCTCTCGCAACTACACGGATCTGATCTCGAAACCTTCTTATCGCGCTCTGTTTGACTCTGATGCGAACTCGATTGATGAATCGGTGCTTCGGCAGTTGGAGAAGGAGGTCAAAGAACGGATCAAACTAACGCGCCAACTGATTGCGGAGGCGAAGGAGTCATTCGATAATCAACTGAAGATTCAGAAGCTCAAGGATACGATTTTCTCTGTAAATGAGCAATTAACCAAGGCGAAGAAGCAAGGAGCGTTTTCGAGTTTGATCGCAGCAAAATCGATTCCGAAGAGCTTGCATTGCCTCGCGATGAGGTTGATGGAAGAGCGAATTGCGCATCCTGACAAGTATTCAGATGAGGGGAAGCCGACGCTGCCAGCATTTGAGGATCCCAACCTTTACCACTATGCTATTTTCTCCGATAATGTGATTGCAGCCTCCGTTGTGGTGAATTCCGCTGTTAAGAACTCGAATGAGCCATCGAAACACGTGTTCCATGTCGTGACTGATAAGATGAATCTCGGAGCAATGCAGGTTATGTTCAAGATGAGGGAATACAATGGAGCTCACGTTGAGGTGAAGGCTGTGGAAGATTACACGTTCTTGAACTCTTCCTATGTTCCAGTACTTAGACAGCTTGAATCTGCGAACTTGCAAAAGTTCTACTTTGAGAATAAGCTTGAGAATGCAACTAAAGACACCACCAACATGAAATTTAGAAATCCCAAGTATTTGTCCATGTTGAATCATCTCAGGTTCTATTTGCCAGAGATGTACCCAAAATTGCATAGGATTTTGTTTTTGGATGATGATGTGGTTGTTCAGAGAGATTTGACGGGTTTGTGGAAGATAGACATGGATGGAAAGGTGAATGGGGCTGTTGAGACTTGTTTTGGGTCATTCCATCGGTATGCACAGTACATGAACTTCTCACACCCTTTAATCAAAGAGAAGTTCAATCCAAAAGCATGTGGATGGGCTTATGGGATGAACTTCTTTGATTTGGATGCTTGGAGAAAGGAGAAATGCACTGAACAGTATCACTACTGGCAGAATCTGGTAAGATGATTTTTTTCTGAAAATTATCTTGCTTTAGCAAATCGTAACTCAAGCAGGGCCTTTTAAACTTACCCATCTGATCTGTTTAACTTGTTATACTGTCTATTCAATTTTTTAACTATGATGAACTTTCGAACCATTAGGATATGTTTGTAGCTGTATAAACGCCAATAATTTAATGGTAAGCTTATAAAGGACTAGCTATGTTTCCTTGAGGCTCTTATAAACGTATACAGAAATAAAGTTATTTCCTTCCACAAGTTGTAGTGTCTGTTTTTATGTATTTGTTGGATTGTGCATTATAGAATGGTTGGTTGTCATCTTTTGTATTATTGGCGCTGTAACAATGATTTTGTGTTTTCGCTAACCATAGTTGATAAAATTGTTGCAGAATGAGAATCGTACCTTGTGGAAATTGGGGACACTGCCTCCGGGACTGATCACATATTATTCAACAACAAAACCCCTAGACAAGTCTTGGCATGTTTTGGGGCTTGGTTACAACCCAAGCATTAGCATGGATGAGATCCGCAATGCTGCAGTCGTGCACTTCAACGGGAATATGAAACCATGGCTTGATATTGCCATGAACCAGTTCCGGCCACTCTGGACAAAGTATGTTGATTATGATATGGAGTTTGTTCAGGCTTGCAATTTTGGACTCTAAATAAATGGCTATAGTTCTATTATGCTTGAGGTATCTATCTGCCAATCTGGTCCTCTGCAAGAAGCTGCCGTTTCGTGAGACTCCTAACTTCTTCTAGCATGAGGCTACTCATACTTTTTATGTGGAAGAATCTCATGTCTACTCAATTGCATCCATCCTTCCTTCATGACACGACAACACACTTCCATTTATGTATACGGAGAAGTGTCAAGCCTCTTCAAGAAACATCTGCTTGTGGCTGGACTAGCGTTGTTAGAACCCTCCAAGCATAGGCTTCAATAGTTGAGAGTTTGCTTCTAATTGTTCATATATGGTTACAGTTAAATTTTCTCTGCTAAATATTTAATTATTTAGACAAATGTGAACTTTTCTAGTTCAACTATTTGCTATATTTGTAGCAAACATTTAATATATGATAATGCACTGAACTACTGAAACTTGTCCTTGTCAAATCTGTTCGTAGAAGTATTGGAGTAACTCTTTTGTAGGTGATTTATTGGTTTTTTCGCTTCCCAGGAGGACACAAATTAAAAATAAGTCATTGTGAGTGCATTTTCACATCTCCCTCTAGTGAGACGTTTGAACTATTTTAGATGAATAAGCCCTCGTTTGGCATAACTTTTGCTTATGCTTTTGCTTTTGCTTTTATGCAGAAGAAAAAGAGAAGCAAAAGCACTCACTTCGACTCAACTTACGAAAAAGCGTTTGACAATAATATGTTAGAAGAGCTTTTAATGACATAAAAGAGTTTTTTTGTGTGTTTGGTAAACCATTTGCCAAATCTCTTCTATTATTGAAAATCTATTTTACCCCCGGATTGAGATACCAATTTTTTCATATCTTGTTATCCCATCCATTGTATTTTGTTACCTTGTCCCAACCAGTAATTTCGGTTCTAGCTTATTCTTTTGAAAACATAAATAATGCTTGATAAAATTATCTATTGCAAAAATTATGTTAAAAAAGGAATTGTTTGTATGAAGAAAAAGAAATTCAAATTCATATCACCTTGATGTTCCATGCATCTAACAAATCACCACAAGAGCATGAAGTAGGTACTTTTCAACCGAACTATTCTCATAAATAGAGTTTCATCCGTGACAAATATGAGTTGTGAGCACCCATAGACAAACCCAAACCAAATAAAATGCAATAAAATAAAATAAAATAAAAATCTTTTAACACTACAGAGAAACAAGCCCATAATCCAAACGAAAATCAGGGTTTAACAAGGCCAAAAAAAATCCCATGCGTACTCAATAGTCCCATGTACACAATCTGTATAATTAAAAAACACAACTTTTTTTTTCTTTAATAAAAAAATATCAATGGAAATTATCTATATTCATGAGATACATTTTTCAATGGAATACATATATTTTTTCAACAACAAGAAACAATAAATTTTATTTCAGAAAATAGTAAATATCAAGATTACATTTAGCAATCAGTCCAGCTAGGAATTCATCTTCCACAATTACACTGGACGTTTACTACATATAAACAACCCATTAAACATAATGAATTACATAAACAAATTTTTTTTCAGTATTTAAGTGGTATGGTATAACAAAAGAGTAATTACAATAAAAACATGAGACATTACCAACAGGCCAGTGGCCTAACGGTACCAAGTCCCTACTTCTCAAAGAGAGGTCAGGAGTTCGAGCCTCCGTGGAGGCATGTGTGTGTAAATACCCAACTAAAAAAAAAAAAAAAAACATGAGGCATTCCCCAAGCCCAGACAAGTAAAGATGGGCAAAAAAGAAATTTTGAAACACTGTCCACAGTAGTGGCCCAAAAAGAGTACAATGCAATACAAAACTACAAAACTGGTACATCAAAACCTTGTGCATACACGTGAGTGGGATAATAAACCAGATGACAGTGTCAGTTCACTGGGTTGGGTGGGTCTGGTGAGGGTGGTGACTGCCGGTTTTGGTGGTGGTTTGAGGAGAAGGTACATTCTGCATTTGTGCTTCAAAAAATATCACATGTTTCATCTCATCACATATTCTAACCCTCTTTGTTCTTGTGTGCTCTATTTGCCTTCGCGTGTAGTTCTACAGCAAGATCAACAAAAATCTCGTACATCCCTGAGTCCCATATAGATTTCGTTTCACTTTTGTCTCCTCGAATGTCATCTAAGTTACAACAGAACATGATCAACTATTAAGTAATAGGAATACCAGTAAATACAATAGAACAGCCTAAGAAATTTATATTAGTGTAGAAAAGGTTGAGAATAAATAAATAAAGAAAATTGGTTTAGTCTAATTGAAATTACCAAGCATTTCAAACTTTTAAACAACCATTTAACACAAACAACACCATTTCACCATTATAAGAGATTTTCCAATCAAACAGAAACTGTTGGAAAACCCATCCACCCATACAATAAAGAGTGATTAAGAACGAAATTGAAGTATAAAGCAATACCATCATTTTCATAAAATCTTGGTACTGCTTCTATAAGTTTTATACTGGTACTACTGCCAAGTGCCAAAACTACTTATTTATAACCCATAATTGTACGTAATGAACTTGAATTCAATCTCGTGAGCCCCTTAATCAATATAATTATGCACATCGAGGTTCTTAAATATTTTCAACCCTCTTTGGGCATATCGCGGTAAATGCTACAAACTTTTATGAATTTAGAAAGCAAAAATGGGGACAAATCATTGACCATCAAATATCCTCTATGTTTTGTACTCAAACTAGTCCAACTGCATTTCTTATGAAACCATAATGATCGGCTATATATTAAAAATTTATGAGTTAAAAGAGCCACCAACTTGTACCAAACTTTTTGTAAAAAGAGATTAACCTATTACTTTTCTCCAAACGTACCATGAAATGAAGTAAACTTATGAGATAAAAATGACACAGAAATGAAGAACTGTTGAAATAAACATATATTGCAATAGGAGGTGCCTACAATGGAAGTATGTGAGCTTAAAGTCGCCCCCACAAGAGCCCTCAATAAAGCATACACACAGCCAGTAAACTTAAGTAATTTTTAAGAAACATGTCCCAATTGGGTTGGTATCTCAATTAAACCAAAAATTAAGATAACGATATACAATGGAATGAATTTTGCAAATTTCCCAAAATTAAGTCTTCCGAAAATGAAAAATAAAAAGGGAAGAAAACAAATCACCTCCAATATGGATGGTCATTGGTTTTAGTGGAGGTCGCCGCCGGTGTTGTCTGAGAAAAGATAGGAAACTGAAAGAAAAAATTCATTATATAGATAAATGAGAAATTAGGGCTGATAATGCAACATAAATGAATATATATTTATATCTATATATATACACAAACTTAGTTTTATTCTGGGTGGGATTAAAGATGAAAGGAGGAACGTAGCAAACCTGAGATAGAAATTGCAGAGACGATCTTCTGCAGAGCATTAGATTGTCGTACTAGGGTTTAGGAAGAATCAGAATGAGGATCTTATAGGGACACGGTCGGAATTTTATTTTTTCACTCACTAAGAAAAGAGGTACGGTTGTCATTTGAAAATATTCATTAAAACTTAACTTTTGGAAAAATTAGGGGGTATTAGTTTCTCTAAAACGGTTTTTTAAAATTCGAAACTTCTTTTAAAAAATTAGTCAAACAGTATTTTATATAGCTTTTGAGTTTCAAAAGTCAAAAATAACGTTTGAAAAGTCAATCCAAACAAACCCTAAATGCTCTCGATTTATGAAGGAGGGGTGTAAATATAGTGAATCTGGGATAGTTTTACGAGGGGGATTAAACACTTTGACTTAATAATTAATGATGAACACCATGATTTATTATAAGTTTTGGAAATTCTTTATGTTTTCTGAATTTTGACAATTTGGGTGTCAAGGGCTAGTAGGGATCCGCGTCATTCTTTTTTCTGGGCTCCTTTTATATCGCAAGCTACTAAATTTTACCATTGTAAATCAAATTATAATCTTTTTACTTCTCGGAAAAAAGAAGAGAAAAGTTATGATCATAAATTGTACTTTCTTTATGTTGCAAATGCTAAAGAAAGCTTCCTAGTACTTGGTTCCGTGAACAGTACTTTCTTTCTGTCCAGTTGGAGAGAGAGAAGGGAGTCGGGAGCCTACCATAAGATTACCAAAGGATCCGAAGAAAGCGAAGCTCCGACCATAAGATTGTGGGCTGTAAATGCGAAAAGAGCTCTCGTGTGAGGCTAGGCGATTTAGCTCATGACAAAATTCAAATGAATGCATGGACGTGTTAAAATGTCAAATTTAATTCAGTGGCAGAATTCAAGACACATACTTGGCAAATTTGTTACACTTGTTACACTCAATTTTAATGCTTGGTTTGGTAGCAAAAAAAAAAAAAATTTGAATGAAAAGTTGAGAAGTAGGGACAAAGTAAACATCTCTAATATTCATCTTTTTGTTCAGTTTGATGAAAGCTAAGATAATAAGCTCACAATTTAATGTGTTTGTCAAGTAAGAAGGAAAATGAGTTTTAAATTATTTTTACCATTATATTCATCCTTGTTTATAATATTATAGTTTAAGATACTATTGTAATTCAAAACTTCCATAAAAACACTTGTCTTTCTTCCTCTCTTTAAGCCTTATTTAGAGGAATGAAAATTTATATTGGAGGAAAGATTGCTTGGAAGTTTATTCCTTCCTTTTTATTTTTCCTCCACCCTTGCACCCTTCTTCCTCCCTTCCTAAGGAAAAATGCATAGGGATAGTGTGATCCCAAAAAAATAAATAAATAATAATAATAATAATAATAATAATAATCATGACTCATCTTTTAAAGTTCCGTTTGGAAGGAGCGGAGAGAAGATATGAGGGAAGAAACAAACTTCCTACATTTAGTAGAGAGGCAATGAGAAAAGTGAAAAGACAAAAGGAAGAAATATGGAGAGAAGACAGAAGGAAGAAAAACAATGATATTATAAATGTTTTTTAATTACAAAAATTTTCATACAATTAGCACTTTTTTTTCCTTTTTCTCTTAACAAACAAAATAAGATATTATCTTAGGGTGTGTTTGGTAGGGTTGATTTGGAGGGATAGGGAGAGAAAAGAAAAGAGAGGATAGTGTATGTTTGTGTTTGAGTAAGTTAAGTGGAGAGATAGGGAGGGATAGTTATCCCTCCTTATCTCTTATTTGTTTTCTCTTCAATTTTGAAAAGATAGGGAAAGAAAGCGAGCATTTTGATAATACCACAATTAGCCTCCACAAATCAATATACAGATTTATTATTCCATTCAAGTCCCATGGTTATGAAAGGGTAAAAAAGTAATTTTTTTACTATCCTTTCTTTTCTTTTCTCTCATCTATCTTATCCAAATAAGAATAACTATTATTTCTTTTCTTTTCTCCCCTATCTATCCAAACACTAATAGAAATTATTACTATCCTTTTTTTTCTTTTCTTTTCTTTTCTCCCCTGTCTATCCCAACCAAACAAAAAGAGGTACGTAATCTCTTTTTTAGAAATGTCTCATCCATCCATTCTTCTCTCTTTCATCCGATTTTCTTCACCAGGGAAGTCTCATTCACCCTTTCTTCTCTCTCTTCTATTCAATTTTCTTCCATCCTACCAAATAGAGCATAAAGGATAATGCAACGAAGAAGAAAAAAAAACACTTTAGGATTTTTCAGGGACCGTGCAGCTACAAGTCGCATACTATCTGAATGGATCTCTCTCCTTGCTGCGACTATCTGAATGGAATCTTCCTCCTTGCTGCTTTCGACGACCTCCTCGTAGACCACCGGACTGAGCTGCTGTCCTCTTTTTCTCCTTCATCTCCTTACCTCCATACGATTAGTGCTGACTACCGGGTTGTATGGCACACAACTAACATTAACGGCTATTTAGCAGTTATTTCGGCTATCTGTTTCTTGAAATGGGTTTGTTTTGGGCTCTAGTTTTTGGGTTACCTTCTTTTGGCTGGGTTGCCTATTAGTTTAATGGGCTTGTTTAGCCTAAGCCCTCCTTTTGTAATTATTATTTATTTTCCACACACAAAAAAATAATAATAATAATAATAATAATAAAATAAATAAATAAAAATTGTACCAGCATCCATGCAAATGCAACAAAGTGGCATTTTGAAAACAAAATCCTTGATTCAATTGTCATCGCTCATAACAAAATGCATAGCCCCAAATGACCCAAACACAAATATTTTTAGACAAACATACATGCACACACCCAATCATAAACACATGAATACATTGACTTGCAATATCAATCGCTTATTACCCAACATAAATTGAAAATACAACTGAATAGGTATGATGTTCAATAATCGTGTCACTTTTTTTTTTCTTTTTTTTGGCAGCAACAAATATCTAAAAATAGTTTAGCCAATACAAAAAGGCCACAAAATTAACTTAGAATTAATCCCTTGGGCACTTGGAAAGAGATACCACACAACAAAACCTACTTAAACTCATTTGTTCTCCACCTACAAGGCTATAACTTCATCCACGAAAGGGAAAAAAATAATAACCCAGAAAAAAAAAATCAGACAGCCCATCCACAAGAGGATAAGAAGCTGCCAGTCGCCCGAAAAAAAATCAACACTAAATCACTACATTCCAGGAAAAAATAGAAAGTAAAAAATAAAAACTAACTGCTACAATCACTCACCGATAACCTTCCACTCTATGGTTCCTCAAGCGGTGGCAGATACCTGCGGTGCCATTGTTTTAGCTGTTCCATTAACAGCCATTCCACTAGCTCGGTTCATGCGGCTGCCATTGCTCCCCATGCTATCGGTCCTCTGATATCCTTCACCTCCTCGGTTCGGAAATCCTCCACGATTGCCACCCCTGTTACCAAATTCAGTCCTGCCATTGAACTCGCCACGGCTATAACCTCTGCCCCCTCCATAATTTCCACGCCCTCTAACTCCCTCATTCCTGAATCCAGACCCCCTTCCATTTGGCAACCGTACCCTACTGTTCACTGAAGAGAAAAGAGTAACCATGTTTAGTGAGAAGAAAATACAGAAGGCAGGGATAATTAGCCTTGAGATCAAATGTGAGAAATTGAATTCAGTTGCAAAACAACATTTTCCCATTAGAACAGAAATCAGCCTGGCACTAATATTGATGGGTCCCAATCCTGGCACCAGTAACCTGAAAAAGGTGCTGGTTCAGCCAAATGCGGGTTTGCTGTGAGTTGACTACAGACAGACCTAAGATCTGGCATTGTTTTGCACAAAGTAGTAGTCGTTCTTAAACTTGTCTGCCCGAGCTTTTACCATTGCACCAAGCAATGGCCCCTTTTGGCACCAGTTTTCTATTTTCAATTTACACCAAGCTTTTACCATTGGAACAAGCAGTTCTCTATAAAAAATGAGCAAGGTTCCAAAAGCCCAACTTGCCTCGAGAATTGGTAGACCTCTTTTCCTCAACATATGCTTGTCGTCCACCTATCATAATGGGTGAAGCCTGAAAATTCAGAGAAGCAAATATTTCACACCACAAAGCAGGTACATATAAATGAAAAAACTAGAGGAGGATACTATTTCAACATAGAATTACCTGGACATAGAAGGCATTAAAAGCAACATATTGCAAATAAATAAATGAATAAATAAAGACAATAATACAAATAATGAAATGGATTTGGACTTCAAAATTATAGATTAAAAATTCAAGTGAAACTACTCATCATATTAATATTCTTTGTCCATGAACAGATAACCACACATGCAAAATTTCAGGTAAGTATATTGAATTCTTAAACAAAACAAAGAGAAACAAGAGTAATATATATTATACGGTCAATTTGGCGTTCGTTTGACCACTCAAAGAAGCCTGGAAAGTCTAGCTCTTTAGTGCAGTCTACAAAAATTTTCCACCACACCAGTCCAACTTTTTCCCGAATGCATTTACTGGTCTAACTTTGGCATGCACCGATGGAACATAGTCCATAGAATAGTTGCAATGGTTCAACTTTAACTTGCAACAGTTGAAATTGTTTACTTGTTTTTTTTTTTCTAATAAGAATCACACACTTTTGCGCAAGTTAGTTTGTGTATGTCCTCACTGGTTGTTTGAGTATGAGCTATGCTATAGAGATCATCCTAAACGATCATAGCAGCAGATCAAAACAGTTCCTTCACGAGAACTAATGGAAGGAGGAAGGCGTCTTGATCACTTTGAGAAGGACCACATCACGAGGTGTTCGCATGAATGTGGAATAGTGTTGCAGATAATCCTAAACGGAACCTGGATCAAAGGACACTGAGTGTCGAAGATAAATCAACTATATGTGATTCTGAAGGCATTGGAACCAGTGATTAGACTTGTCAGTAGATCGGATTTTGATCCAAATCTTATCTGAATCTGGACCAAAAATTGGTTTGACAATCCGTTAGCTAAACAAACCAAATATGGATTTATGATTGATCCAATAAAAATCTAATCAAACATAATATAATATATAAGCTGCAATAAATATATTATCTGATTATAAAACACATATTATATACATAGTATCAGAATGTTTTTAGCATTATTTATTCTTTCTTCTTTATTACGCTATATTTTTCCTTTAACAATGAGATGGTACCTAATTTTCCTCCTTTTTTGTTCGTGAGTTATTGTTTGACGATCTCTTTTGACATTAATTCTTTTAACAAAAAAGTATACCCTCAATGGATGGGATTATCAATTTTGATAACCATGGGTTCATTCACAAATAATCCATTGGGTTATCAGATAGGATTATAAAATACCTTATCTATTCATAACGAACTAAGCCCAATTCGATCCATTTATAGGTCTACGCATGGTGAGCAGTTTCAAAGGTACTAAGTATCAACTTGCCAAAGACTTAAGTCTCTGATTTTTCCTTGTTGAGGTTTTATCCATAAAAGATCTTGATGTCATCTTTCTCATTGCCCTTAATTTTTACTTGCTATCGTGTGTATTTCTTCGCATTTCAATTCACTAAAAATCAGATTAAAAACAAGAAAAGGAGAGAACTAGACCTATTTACTCCCCTCTAGGTCTGTTTAATTGAGATGTTTTCTCAACCATTTCGGCATTTGTGCAACTGTCATCAATGACAACATAATATGGCATTCGTTGGTACTTGGTAGTAAAAGCGTATACAGTGTTTGCAGCTGCAGAATGCTGAATGGAACACTGCCTACCCAAATGTGAACATACTAAACCATCACAGGAGGGGCAGCTCCGAGTGGATTGCCTGAATTTCAAGACAAATTGCCATCTATAGGTGGCAGAAAAAGTAATGATGGCATCTATTAACAATAGTTGTAATAGCAGTAGTCATAACACATTGGAGGTGATAGCAGAAAAGGATGTTAAAATTGACAAGAGAGTTGGTGTTAACAGTGGTGGACAATGGTAGTAAAGATGTTTTACTTTCCTCTTTCTGCCTTCTCTCCTAGCTACTGTTTTGTTGACACAAACATTGTATTAAAGCCAGTAAGATCTGTAATTCCTATATATGACCAAGTATGAACTCATTGACTTTATGCGTGCTTTAAGGATTCGAAGCTGTCATATATAGTCCTTGTGTTTAATTATAAGTCACCAAATGTAAAAGGGCTTCCACTTATCTCAAATCAATAGGCGTCATTTTAAAATTTTATTCATAAAAGTTTGAGCGAACTTAACACCCCTGCTCCTTTCTCCACCCAAAATAAAAGTGTGCGACAACAGAGGATCGGCAACTAAATACACTGTAACCACGATCATTACAAATCAGTGTGCATCACCATCGCCATCCTTAACATCATCTCCACCACCGTCATCTTCAACATTATCTCCAGCTCAACAATAACTAGTACACCTTTTGTCGCACTCACTGCCATGATGTCATTATCTTCACCCGCCATGGAAAAACCAATAATATAATCATGTCAAAAACTTTCATGAAAAAGTGGCTTGGCATGAACACAAATTATCAGCGGGTAAAAAACAAAACTGGAAAATTAAGAATTCAATCATGTTTTAATGTCTCAAAATCTGAAAGCCCTAGATGGATCCTGGCATGAATATAAGCCCAAACCAGTGGAGCAAAACAGAAGTCCATGAAAGATAAATGCATGCAACCATATGGCCTTTCTGATCCTATCGCATCCTCTCATATCAAATGTTACCCCTTTGATTAAATCAGAGAATACTAAAAAATCAACCCTCCTACAGCTCCCAACTGATTGACAAAAACCACTTCAATATTCCCCCAGTTACATTCGTCGTTACAGCATATAATACTGCATCTTGATTTCTTGGTGCACAAGCATTTCTTTCATTCTTGTGCATTTCCAAGCCTCTTCCAAGAAGCTCTCAGTATGATAATTTCCAATGGAAATTACAAAGACAAGCATCAGAAAAATTAAAGTGAATTGGGAATTATCAAGCTTCACAAATTTAGGCTATGTTTGGGAAGCTTAGTCCAGGAATTGCCAAACAAAAAAAAAAACCTTGACAAGTACCAAATATAGAGCTTTCTAAGAATTAGAACTATTGAAGTTGGAGAAGCTATAAAAAAATTAGGAATAATTTCAAAACCATTTGATATTGTAATCAATGTCTAAAGGCATAAAGGAGAGGTTTTTCCAGTAAATAAAGTTGAACAATAAGATAAAGTGTTCCCATAAAAGATATCTGAGACACGAAAAACATAATGTCTGTGAAATTAAGAATACAAAATTACATAATGATTTGGAAGAACTTATGATATCAAATATACATATCATAAAATTTCATTATGGGAGTATGAACTAAAATATCCACTTATAGTAATTAGACACTGGAGCTTTTCTTCTAAGAAATATGTAAATTTTTCACAAAATAAAGGAAGTAAAATAAGCAGTCTATACTAACTTGAAGAAAAGAATGAAAAGAGGGTCCATAAAGAAAAATGGACCAGAAGAAGTTAAGATTAGTGTGCACACCATGCACACACATCCACACATACAAAAAATCCAGTGCATGTCTCACCTACACAAGGTCCAGGGAGGGGAATATTAACCACTTGTTTGTCATTGTTTTGCACAAAGTGGCTATTCTCTGACTCAAAACCGCATCATCATAGTTATTCAGTCGAGTTATAACCAATGTTTCAAGCAATGACCACTACACCCCTACATCAATATATATACATATATATATATATATATATATATATATATATATATATATATAAATATATATTATTTTTTATTCAGTTGCTACTTAACGCGGATGGGAGTAACATATGTGAATTAGACCATGTCGATCCAATGTCATCCTATGGCTATTATGTAAACCATCTTCTTTAGAGCGAGAATGGGTTCCCATGTGAATGGGGTCGGTCACATGAAATCTCCTTTTCCATTCTTGCCTTATTATAAGCCATGCCTCTTACAATATTTAGTTTTTTAAAATCATTTTTAATTACTTCATCCCATGTAAGTTTTGGCCGTCCTCATTGTCGCTTACCTTCTAGGCACACGCCCCTTCCTCTCCTAACCAGTGCATCTTACACTGTATGTTGTATATGGCCATACCACCTAAGCCTGCTTTCTCTAATTTTATCACTAATAGAAGCTACTCCCATTAGGAATTTAGGGCAAGCGTGATAAACTGCATTTAGCATAAGCAAAATAGAACAGAAAAAATAATAATTCATAACATACATATCACATTCAGTATGTATGCCAATGTTATATTTTAGAATATATTATGTTAAATTATTACAACTTTAAGAAAAATGAAGGTCCTTTCTGTCAACAAACTACATATCAATTAGTATAGATATATGAAGCTAGATAAACTTGGTGCACGAGACACAGCTTAAACCTTACCCATAAAAAGATGAAATCAAAGCTAATCTAGAACCACAGACAACACAGGCAATTGTGACCATACCACAACATTCAGTGACAACTTATTGAGTAAAAATTATTTTCTATTATTGACAAATGGTATACAAAAGCAAACTTACAAACATTTTGCCACAACTCTTCAATTGTTTTAGAAAACTATGAAACAGTGGAGTATATGCAAGCACAATCCAACAATTAAATAATTATATATGATTGTGCTGTATTTAAAATATTTCAAAATTAATTAACAAACTACTAAATGCTTCATAGTCATGAATGCCTTCAAAAACTCAAAATTAAATGATAGATTCTACCACCATCCAGGGACACTTAAACTATATTTGTTCTCACTATTATTTGTTGTTCTACGTCATGGTTCCATTTCTTGTTTCCCAAACCAACATAAATGTTAATGCAGATAGCCAGTCGTAAGACTTGTCACCACGATGTCCAGCTCTAGCAGGTTATGTACAACTGGGTGGTTCAACTAATAACTAGTATCAGAAATTTCACACAAAGTCAAAAAAATTCAAGCTCAATTTATGGTGTAAGAGAATGCATGTTTGTGCTGGTTCTGCCACCAAAAATTCCACCTGTAATGAAATA